AAATGAATGGCTATAAAAAATCACTGTATCCGCAACTAGAGTTCTGTTTGCTTTACGTCACTTTCAAAACACCGCACTACACGCCAGCAACAATGAAACGTCACAAAATGTTGCCATATTTATTTAAAAGCCTTTAGAATGCAAACCAACCAAATCCATATATTCCAACGCTGTGTGTGACTAAATTTGGCATTTTGTGAGACTAATTCTGGTCGCGCTTCAAACTCTACTAATTCGTAATTCCAACCCTCTGCCTCTTGTGTTCAAATTCCGATCACTGTGTGAGCTGTATTGGAATACAACACAGCTGGGAATTAGAACACTATTGAATATTGAACACTACTTAATTAGGCTTTAATTAAGAGCTATTAAGCTTTTAATTAGGAAAATTTTAATTTTTGCGCACAGCTCGGAATGAGCTGTGTGTGTCTAATTCCAAGCTGTGTCAGAATTAGTTTTTATGTGTCTAAAACTGTCTCTTAACTTATTCATCTATTAATTTATTTACCACTTGAAAGCAGCAAATACAAGAATACTTGAAGGATTCCTTATATATTCACAGACTTATTTAAAAGTCTCCAACCATAATATTCTTTCTACACAAACAGTTCATCGCTATTTGGTAGAGCAAGGTCAACTATCAACTTTGACACGTTTTTCGATGTTCTCACTGGGTGACGCACACTGTCTCTCTTTGGATCTCAACATTTTCCCGCCAGACGGCCCAGACCTAGTGTTTTGGCAATAGTATAGTGCGCAATAGTATGACGTCACTATTTCAACCATCAATGAATGCGTGGAACTAAGACAAAGCTTAATATAAAGGAAAAAAGTTGAGAAGTGTTAGAATTACCCACGATGTCGGAATATACCGCGTTTACCCTTAGACCCTACTACCTAGGCTGAATGAACTTTAGGTGTAAGATCTAAGAACTTAAGATGTATGTAATATGTATGATCTAAGTTATCGTACTTGTCTTGTATTAGTCCACCTAATTTTGTGGCCAAATGCTGTGCTGAGTTCTGATGAGGAATGGCCCTTGCTTTCTGATAATTTTTCATGCCATGTGTTGCTTTTCTTTTGCTTGCTGTCATGCTCAGCCATTGCATCCACTGACTTTTTATAAGCCATAATAAAGTGGTCTGACCTCCATGCCATGATGCCAAGAGGTCCAAAACTACACAAGCTCTCAGGCCCAACGGTCATCCTTGCAGTTGTCCTGTGGCTTCAAGTCTACCCTGCGTAGGCATCCCAAAAAGAAGATGAGCTGTTGTCAGACTGTCAGTGATGGAAGTGTGCATGGAAGCAATCTGACAGAACCAGCTACTGGCAGCTATGGTAGTGTTAATCAGATGCCAAAGTTGGTTACATATATAGTAGCCTATTTGGTTAGAGGTTTGATGCTCAGATAGGCTCTGAACTCTGAGGCTGGCAAACAGAAGTAATATGTTTTTAAAAGACATTTTATTGTCAAGGATTAAGCCTAAATAACAAAAATCCTCAACCCATTCTCAAATTGATCCACTAAAAGTGATATTCCAAGGGGCGACATTTGCGACAAAAGGTCTAGACGTAAAAAGCATCACTTTAGTTCCATCGGTGTGTGCCACTAAGTGAGGCTCAAATTTATTTACTAACAGCCATTTTGACAGGTCTGCTGACAGATCCTAAATGCTATCACACACAAAATCATGCAGCAAACTCACGCTTCATTGTAGCTTTGTTGGTACCTTTTGAGCTATAAAAATGGCATCATCAGCAAAAAGCTTGCAGTTCACATTAAAAGAAGAGGCAATATCATTTATGAAAATATTAAAAAGAAGAGGCCCAGAGCCTTGTAGTAGGTATTCCAATTGTGATTGGTCTTTAGACTTGAGAGTGATTTGAACTCGCTCAATGAAACATCTTGTCTCTATTGGTTAGGTATGACTTTATCAATGTATAAAAAGGCCCTCTAATGCCATAATGGTTGAGTTTATTCAAGAGAATTTGATGGTGCACTCAATCAAAGGCCTTTTGCAGGTCAAGAAAAAGAGCAATACAGTAATTTTGTGCATTGAATTCCTTGAGTAAATCTTGGACTAAGTAAAATATAGTCATTGTAGTGTTGGTGCCCTTACAGAATCCAGATCGACTATCAGATATTAAAGAAAATTTGTTAAGGAAATTTGTAAGTTTAGAGTGAAGAATTTTTTTGAAATTTTATTAAGGAAGGGCAAGGTTACCAAGGTAGATATGGGTTGATAGTTGCATACATTGTTACCGGTGTCTCAACGCGGATGAGACGAACTTGTCGCCTACTTTGACTACTTGTTGGTAACCAAGAATTAGTGAAACTAATATGATGACTAGAGGTTGAAAAGGAAAATGAAACACAAATACTGGTTCTAATAACTATTGGGATCTCATACAGTGAAAGTGACAGGAAAATGACAGAATAAGGAAAATGTGTAAGACTGATAAACTGAAGCTGAACTAAAGATGATGCCAAGTAAAAATGCACACAGACCAATGAGTAAGATGCGCACCAATAACGGCTTCCAATACAAGCCAGTTGAGAATTATTTTAGTTGAATTTATAAAATAGTTAAACACTTCAATATAAACACACAGTAACACACATAAGAGGGAAAAAGGGGACAACATATAAGAGGAACAAGAGGGTGTGCTGCAAAGTAGCCTGAACCACCCCCGCCAACAACATTACTTGAGTTGCCAGACTTAAAAACTGGTGTGACACAAGCATTCTTCAGTACATCAGGATAAATTCCAGTAGACATACACAAATTAAAAATATGAGCTAAAACAGGCACTACAATATCGGCAACCGTGCACAATACACGTGGCTGAATTTCTTCAACATGAAGCCTCTTGCCTTTGCACAATCATAACAAGCTCATTATCTCAGATGCAGAAGTAGGAAATAGGAAGCATGATGTGTCACAGAACGGAACACCACAAGTCGTTGTTGGGGGTCAGCCCTTCTAAAGGTCAACGGTCCAGCCAGTATAGTACCAGCATGTGACGCCAAGCAAAACAAACTCAGGGAAACAAACAGAGGAAGAACCAAGCAAACCTCTATTAAATATAATCAGTGGTACATGAAGGTGAAAGGTGCAAAATTAGTTGGTTAGTAATGAGACAGCCCAGGGCTATGAGTGATGGGGTGAACCTAGCATGAGAACATGAATAGCCAGCAGCCCAAACTGGTTTGAACAGTAAAGAATAAATAATGATACATGGTAAATAAACTAAACTGGGCCAGAATAATGATCTGTAGCATAAATCAAATCAAGAATAATGAAACCAAGGAATCGAGGGCTCAAAACGGGCCCTGGGTCAGGCCTGGTTCATCAAGGGGCGTCCACACCAAAGAAACAAGACGGCGGTGGTCTTACTTGGGAGTAGCAGTGGGGTAGACTCAACTGGCACGTTAGGGCAGCTCTGACATGAGTTGCTGGACAGGACTTAAAGAGGCATCCACGTTGGCCTCTAGTGTCAGCTCGATTAGCTCAAGAGCAGCCCAAGACTCGCCTGCAATGTTTCTCAGTCAGCCTTAGCTTGCCTTACACTTGTCAAGAACTGGCATCAAACTAGCTCAGAACTTGCCGGAATGCGCCCCAAATTGGCCCAGAATATGCTCCACGTTGGCCGCTCTGCAAAAGTGCAGGAACAAGAATGCATAAAACCTATCCAACAATAACACTTGAAAGTTGAAACACATAAGTACACTAGGAACACATAAGAACAAATTGATCTACCTAATGCAAAACTGTAAAACAATTTTAAGGGATGATTGATTATATGTACAAACATTTACTGATAACATTCAATAATTGAAATTTAGGACTGAGATGCGTGGTGAGAGTGTTCCCTTGACTTACCTATTTAAGAGCCAGGATAATCTTTGTAGGTCAGAGACAGGACAGCAAGAAAGTCTTCATTGCCAGAAAGCAGGCTCATGTACAGTAGGCAGTATGAGTGGTTGGCAAGTCAGTATAAGCACCAGATAAGCAGGAACACGGAAAATTGACTCGCTCCAACAATGCTTATTCACATGCATTAATTTAACTTTAACTTGCAGTCATTTTATTAGTTTTAAAGCACTGGAGACACAAAAGAGAGAATTAATTGAAAACACAATAAATAATTCATTTGCCTAAATGCAGCCCCTAACATCGGATCACCCTGCACTGGACCTAAATCTTTAGTTATGTCATTTGCGACGGAGATAAAATACTCATTAAATTCAATGGTTAGTTGAGAATTGGGCATTACTTTAATATATTTATACAATTCAATCTTTTTGCGCACAAGATTCCTTGCAAGGAGAGAATTAACAGTATTCCATAAGGCCCTTGATTTGTTAGTATCTTGCTGGATTGTAGTACTACGTATGTAGTATTGCTTCTCGACCATTTTCCACTGCACATTCAAGACATTCCGATAGATCAAGTAAGATCCACGACAAATTGCATCAGAATATGAAAGCTTCAGGAGTTTATGCTTCTTCTTGATTAAAGACTTTATTTCAGTGCTAACTAACCCAAGGTGGTCCACATTTTTTAATCACGGCAGACTTTAATGGAAAGGATGAGTTGTTAATTTTGAAAAGTTCATCCAAGCAAGACCGCATGGCAAGGACTGTGTTTCAGCATCGGATGTATTTAAACTTTTCAAGACTGCATGGCAACCTGCTGCTGCTGACAGTGGTTTCAGCTGCAGCTGTGTGATAATGCAATCATATTGTTATGCCCTGTGGTCATGCACATGCAAGAACTGGAAGAAAACAGCCACAAGTTTGATGTTGGTACTACTATATAGAATTTCTATGCATGTTCATTTTATCAAAGCTTCTAGCCTTTCATTCTGTATTTTTAATCAATATTGCTAAAGCACTAAATTTTAAGTGCTCAAACTCTGGAATTGTTGCTATTAAATTTTTCAAAGATACAGCAACTTTTGTTGCAATTAAACTTGGCTTTCTTTCAGATAATTATGAGCCAGTTTGAAATTTTTGAGAACAGCTACTATAAAAGAAGCTAAATAGCTGAAAATTAAATTCATTGTTTATACAGTTCCTTCCTAATTCTCCTGGTCTAATAAGTTTTTAAGCATAAGAAATCATAATGAACTATTGCTATACCAGAAGTAAATTGTTATGCAGAAGCTCCAAACATTTAATCCAAAGATATTCACAGAGAGCTAAGGTAAGTTTGTTAATATATTTGATTTTAAGGTTAATTGTTGGTGACATAGTATAAGCATTGCTCCATTCTTGTTTGTTCTTCATTATTTCACAACCATTGGGGTGCTGTTCAGATTTCCCCTAGTGATCATGTACTATATTTAGTCCTGGTAATCTGAGCTAATATAAATAATGATCCTAATATCTCTGGCCAAAATCTTGTGATGAAGCCAAATCTACCTTAAGAAATATTGGTGATGTCTCTAATATAGCTTTAGGATATTCATGACATATTATTGGCTAGGTATTTGCAGGATTTGTGGAAATTTATCAAAGCAGTTATGGCGGGCACAAGTGTATAGTTTTGTTGTGAATGTTTTTCAGACCTCCTGGAATGAAGTGAAGGCCTGATATCATTTCACTTTCATAGTGTTCAGAGCTACACTGCTCTTGCTGATGAAGGAAGACTCCTCTTTACTTTGGTCATGTTAGAATTTTAACAGCGTATTTTGCTTTAGGGTTGGTATTTAAATTTTGTTTCTTCAGAAATTCACTCAAAATCTCTCAAAGTGTTTGGCCTCCAATGAAGGATAACTGTGCTAAATAAAATTCTGCAATATCTAATGAGAGTAGTTTTCAGTAGGTATTACGGTTATTTCTCAAGGTAGCAGAACATTCTGCCTCAAATCATTGCCTGGAAATTTGTGTGTAAATTTCATTGTACCATATGTCTTGCATCAAAATAAATTAAGCTTGCCCGAATTTTATCATGAAAATAAATTATTTACAAAAAATGTTCTTTTCAGAAAAAAACGGCTTGTGAACTGGCTTTGGAGTACTTCGATGTATCATATGGAAACATTTATGGCAAGGAGTGGCCTTCTGTGCGGCTTGGACTATTGTCTGAGCCTAAATTCGTTTCTATCATCAATAATCAATGCCCTAACTTTCAGCAGACTCTAAGGAAGCTACAGGTTTGTAAGCCCTGCTATCTTTACTTCAAAACAATCTTAGACTTATTTGAGTTGTATATTGAGATAATTGAAATGCATCAGTCAACATAGATTGATTGTCATGCTTAATTTATAGTGTGTTGATGATTTTTTCTTGAATTATTTAAATCTTTTGTTGTTTTTAAGTAGGTGTAGTTTGCTCTATTATTGAACAAATACCCTTATTGAAAATTCTTCAAGGTTATACCCTGAACTATATTGAATTTACTATTGAAATTATGATGCATTAAGTTTGTCCCCCTTGTTTGCTATTTAAACCTAGGATATGTATCCATGTAGCTCCACAGCAGTGAGGGATTCAGGTTGTTCCCATGTCAACCTTAGAGAGATTAACTTGTAATCCACTTGAATTTTGCAGTGGATGCTGAATTAGTTTAATAATGATGCATGTAAAGAGTTGCAATAAAAGTTAAGGTTTCTTGGTATTTTAAAATGCAACTGACAAGCCAATGAATGCAAATAGATACAAGACAATGCTCAATACATTGCTTGAAGACTGTTATAGTTAATAGGTAGGTACATATAGTGTTTTATAACTACTGTAGTTATAGGGAGTAGAGAGCACCGGACCCATAACGGCACACAAAGTCCTCATACAGCAGAAAAATATACTAATCACAAATGAGTGCTACAGTGCATAATGTCACTTTGATGCTAGACAGGCTATGATCTATCATGCCAAAATTTAGTCAAACTGAGGCAATCATGCACTAACTGAATAATAAACAAACATTTGGAAAATTAGGAACTGATAATTTAGTCTAGTAACTTGAGTTAAATGAAGCTAGTGATACAACAATTATAATTAATAAACAACTAAAGCAAACAACATTGGAAGTGGGTTTGACCCAATAATGCCAGTAATACCGGTAATAATAATCAGATAAAATGGAATCACATAACCATCAAGTTTATTAATATTTGTAACATAAATTTAACCAAATTATAGTAGGGTTGTGCTGAAGAAATGCAGGTAAATAATGCAAATGGTTAAGAGATATGGAAAGTAGCAGAATTAAGACAGATATATATATGAATTATCTGGAAGAGCTTCACTTACCCAGCGGTATTGCAGGGTTATCTTGATGCATTATGCTGTTTTGGCAGCATTTTAGTTACTGACTTGAACTTTGCTTGAATGGAATTATTACATCTGCTCTGAAACGATTTGGAACAGAAGGATACATTAAGTATGAAAATTGAATTAATGACACAGATGGTTTGAGTGGCCAAAAGAGCAATAATGCTTTAACAAACAGAGCAGCAGCTCATTATAATAGGGTGCTAGTTTTAACCAATAAAAACAATACATGTAACATTGAAAACCACAGAGGCAAGTTTTATAGTTTTATTTTAATATAGTTTTATTTCATGGAAAAATTTGTTGTGAGCAATATACAGGATTAATAAGATTCAAATAACCTTCACTAATTAGCTCTATCCTTTATTGCACTCAAGAATTTGTATGCAAGGTGTACATACAGCCTTGAGTATGGTTATTGTAATTATATAATTATATTATATTGGGTTATTGTAATTATTTTGCTAAGTGTGGGCTTGAGAATGAAGGCATGCATTGCAGGAGACAATCTTTCTAATGTAAGTAATTTTACATGAGAATATCCAGAAGCCATATATAGGCCATCACTACAGCATGGGGTAGTCTCAACCAGCAGATCCCTGCTACTGCCTGAGGCCAGTTTAGGTAGAAACTCTGAAGAGGGACTTTTTGAGTTTACTTTGGCACACGACAGCCCAGATAAATAAAAGAACTTTTCCTATATTTACAGCTTCTAATTTTAGTCCATTATGTAAAAGCTTCAAGATTCTATAAACAGTGTCAGAAGCATTTCCCTTTGATATCTGCTTCTAACTTATATAATAATCCAATCTCCTTGCTGCACCTTCTCAGCATTCCTGCATGACCTATTCTGGAGATATGAATGTTTGTCATAGTTTCATAGTTCTTTTTACTGCTTTTTACTTCAACTAGGATCTATGCTTCTATTCCGCAGAATCTTGGCTGTTATGATGTAGGCGCGCATTACCGCAAGAACTGTGCAGACGTGATGGCTGCCAGGCAGAGTTCCCGTCTGGCTCAAGCACATGAGCAAGACAAAAATGATGACGATTCTCCAGATGTGACAGGCACTCATTCAAATCACAGTCTAAGGAAACCAATACGTGAGGTGAGAATTGTTATTTTTAGTGAAACTTGCGGCAAAAAATTCTCAGGTAGATAATAATGGTGTTTTTTTTTTTGGGGGGGGGGATTTTCAATGCAGGGAAATAAGTGAGAATAGGCTGTGTTAACTTAATCCAACTGATAGGCAGTGCTCCAGCTTGTGACTTCTATGTTCAAAATGCACACTACAAATAAAAAGAATATTTAAAGTATTTTAAGTAGAATAAGAAAGACTCTAATTCAGTAAAACTATCAAACCTCTGCCTCAGTTAAGCGATGACGAGCTGGGGGAGCTCGTGAATACGCCGGCCCCTCCAACATATCCTAAAGAATTCCGTGATCTCTCCGGCAACTTCGAGTCAGTGCCCTGCAAGCCCACATCTGACCGCCTCATCCTGCCACAGCCACACATCTCCATTGATATGCAAATCCAGGCTTTGCAAGAATTTATGCCTTCAACTGGTCTTAAGGTACTTTTGAGTTCTTTGACCTGAGACAGTGTTTGATGAGCATTGCTGTACAGTGTCAAATACTGCAATTATGACAATCAGATTTGTCTCTGACTAAATAAATTTGAAAAACTTTATTGTGAATCTCAAATCTGTTAAGCCTTGCTTGTAGTGGTATCGTTTGTACTTAACCTTTATACATAGGTATATATCCTATTGCAAGAGGAAAAATCAGGTGGCTCGAAATAAACCATATTTTTTTATATATAAACATTATTTGTAATATTCCACGCTTCCAGGGCTTGGCAGAACTCACAGACGAATCCGAGATTTTTGACAGATATCGCGCCGCTTTTGAAGCTGGTGAGTCGAAGATTTGTCTTGATGGAGTGGAGTGACATGCATCATGCTTGACACGTCGTCAGCTGTTAAGAGGGGGTTGATTAATCAGCTCAAGGAGCGGTTTTATGTAAAAAAAAAATGTCCTACTTTTACTCTTTGGGTAAAATATTTATGAATTGTTCGTAAAATGTGAATGAACTGTTTCAGATGACACTCCTTCAATAAATGTTGAAAAATCCAACACTTTGATACACTGGCCTGAGCTGTTGACCGTCTTGGCTTTCCCGAGGCTCGACATCTCGCGCTTCCCGAAGGTGAGCTGCTGCTCGCTGGGAGGCAGTGCTCCAGCTTGTGACTTCTATGTCCAAAATGCATACTAAATATAAAGAAGATTTCAATTATTTTAAGTAGAATAGGAAAGACTTTCTGTAATTCAGTAAAACTGTCAAACTTCTGCCTCAGTTAAGGGATGATGAGCTGGGGAAGCTCGTGAATACACCGGCCCCTCCAACGTTTAATGCGCTCGTGTTGTTGCTGCAGTTCTCCCTCCGATATTCAAATTATTATTTTCCTAATATTTTATTGCTTAACTTACTTAGTCTTTGCTAAGAAATACAAGGATACATATTTTATGTTCATTTTTTTGCATATGTCGTGTGTTTACTTCAATGCAGCTAAGCATTGTCATTAACAAACAATATGGTTGCTTGATTCTCAAATCTCGTGACAAAGCTTCATTAACAAAATTCATCAATTGTATTTACGTTATAACACACTTTTTTGCGTATTTAATCCTGAGGAAAAATCCAAATTGCGCATTTTATAGATGTGTCTATTGGTTGTGTCGAAGTCTACGCTGAGAAATTCATTTCATACTGATATATAGAATAGTTTTTGACTTTTCGACATCAAACATCATATGCACTGGCCTGCGCAATGCCTCAAAATGCATTGGTATTCATCATTATTAATTTCTGATTTTATTTTCATAAGCCTGGATATGTGAGCGGCTTGACGGACCACTACCCTCTGGACGGCGGCAGTCTGCTGCCGGTGTTGCTGCTGGACTTACAGGCTGGAGACTCGGTGCTGGACTTGTGTGCTGCTCCTGGCGGCAAGTCCATGGCCATACTCCAGACCACCTTACCTGGTAACGCAATACGCATCATGAAAAAAAATTAAATTAAATAAAAATCAAATTTAAAAAATTGCCTGGTAACGCATCATGACCGAAAAATTACTTGCAAACACCAAATTATTATTTTCTGCGTTAATGTAGAAATTTATTTGAGAGGCTATTGAATTGATACACATAGAAGCCTACTTCTCGTTGATGAATTAAATCAATTATCCATTCTTAGAATATTCTCATTCGAAAAAATTTCAGATAGACAAGAAATTAGCATCAAAAATCATATTTAAGCTTCTAGATCATAACAATGAGGTTGAAGCTCTTAATGAAACAAACGACTCATGCGAGCGTTATTATTACGAGTGACGTTATTGTGTTCCTAAATCATTTGATTTTGGAAATTGAAACAAAATGATTCCTATTAGAAAATGAAACGGATAAATATTTCCTAGAATAAGCCGTAGATACACATGTATATGTGGCTATTGAAGTTTGAAAACTTTGTACCCTTCCTAAAGAACATAGGAGATTCGAGTGCTAAAGCACTCGAAAAATTGTCTTAGACAAACGAATTCGATCACTGCTAACACTTTCTAATCTCGTCATTTCACATTCCAACACCAATTCCATGACTCGTACATTACAGAACTACTCACGCCAGGTTTATCCTCCCTGCGTTACCAGACGCCGTGGATCAGTAAGACGATCTCATGAGTCGTGCGTGCGACTGCCGTGCATGGCTACGTAACCGTCCTTGTGTTCTGCCTGACGCGCCTCAGTTCCACTCTGTCGCCAAGACTCTCATTGTAAAATATGATGCTGACGGTCATATTACATTTCAAACTGCCTAATGCGCTCGTGTTTTTTCAAATTTTATACAAATATCGAAAAAACAGTCAGAATCAGTCATATAGTAACGAACGATGGTAATCGCCATAGTTTGTCTTTCCAGGTACCTACTTTCTACTTGTCAAGTTGCAATGCGGCCACCGTCACCAATTCTCTAAAACCGAAGTACCCTTGCACAGTCGCCCGATGTTCTCATGGCATGGAGGATAGACCTAGCCAATATAGAGCTGAGGTCGTAGCATTAAAAATAGTTGATATTTCGTAACTCCGTCAGCAAATCACGGACGACTTTTCAAGATAAACCTACTAATCACATGATTAATCGGCCGCTACGTTTACTTATGCGAGGTTTGATAGCCCGGCTCCTGTTTAAAAACCTAAAATTCCCGCGTAACTTTTTTAAGTTTTTTTTAATCAACACACGTCTTAGTCTTACGACTATCTCAGAGGACTAACTGGAAAACGTTAACTCAACCGAAGCGTTACAAATTGAGATCATTACTATAGAATTATAGTATAGGTCTTCGGGTCATAGCTTCGATTATAAATCACATCATATCGTATTCATCACCACTTGTGATGATCTCTGAACGATAATGCCGAAAAAATTTAGACGCCGTCGTTTGGCGTTAGCTGGATGCAGCATTCAGCTTCTAGGATTTGTGTAAGAATTGTTTACACAAGCTTTAATTAGCTTATTTAAGAGGGTTGTGAGAATTAAAGTCCATAATGTTTAAATTGTGTTGCTCTGACAGAACGCTTGCATAGTAACGACAAGTCCTCGGCAAGAGTGCTGAGGCTGAAGACAAGCATGAAACAATACTTCCCTGAGGGCAGCCGTGCACTTCAGTCTCTACAGATAACTCAGGTGAGAGGTGTGAAGCTTGGCTCTCGAATTTCTTCAATAGGTTCTTGTTATGAAATTGTTGAATTTGTATCATGTATACTGGCAGGTCCAATTCTTGATGGTGTAATCAGAGATGAATTGAATCGAACGTAAGCTATCGAGTGCACATGATAAATGCGGTGTCCCTTTTAAGTAAACGAATATTTCTTGGATGGGTTGTTAACTTTTGACTTGCGTTGCCATTTCACTCGACTTGTCGGTGAACTTACTTCAGGTATATCTTATTTTTCCCGAAAATATAGACTTTTCTATCAGAAATGTTTTCTTTCTCTGTATCTTAGCAATCCTTACTATTGGCGATCGTATGAAACTCATTTTAGGTTTAATTTAATTTCAACTTCAATTTATTTTACTTTGATCAAATATTTAATTATTTTTTTCAACCTAAGACGGTCACAATAATTTGTTTATCAATTCCATTAAAATTCATCAAGCCCGATATTTGTTGCCTAGGTTGACGGGACGGAACTGGAACTTGGAGCGGAAGGTCCGTACGACCGAGTGCTAGTGGATGCACCGTGCCTAGGTGACCGCTACGCTCTGCACGACGCAGACAACAACATCTTCGAGAAGAGCAGACGGCAGGAACGACTCGCGATGCCTGAAGTTCAGGCTGACCTGCTCGTGTGAGTGTTGTGCACTCTCTTTCTTGGAGGATAAGGAACACTTTCAAGCTTTATTTCTACTAATATCCAGTTACCTGAAATGCCAGTAAATGACATCGAATACTAATTAACAGGACTCAACGCAAATATAAGCGTACTATAAACAATCTTTCAATGTGAATTGAAGTCAACGATGTACGTGGCAGGGAAATTACATTACATTAGTGATTGGGACATTTCAGTTTGAAACAATACAGTGATTGAAGCCAGACCATCTGACTTTTGACAGCAATCTTGATAATAAGTTTATTTGTAAGACCTATATTACATCACTCCTCATAACTTCAGCGATGGTAGATTATTCGTGAGGCGTAACCGCATGTTGAGTAACTGAAGCTACAGCACTGAAATGATGGCTTAACATGCAACACTTCCCTTGGTGGTACGTGTTGGATTACTCCTTGGCTTGACACAGGCAAGCCCTACAGCTGGTACGTCTAAACTTGCCCATGACTTTACGCAGGCGAGCCCTACAGCTGGTACGTCTAAACTTACTCATGGCTTAACACTGTCGAGCCCTACAGCTGGTACGCCTAAACTTACCCTTGACTTTACGCAGGCGAGCCCTACAGCTGGTACGTCTAAACTTACTCATGGCTAAACGAAGGCGAGCCCTACGGCTGGTACGTCTAAACTTAGCCTTGGCTTAACACTGTCGAGCCCTACAGCTGGTACGCCTAAACTTATCCTAGACTTTACGCAGGTGAGCCCTACAGCTGGTACGTCTGAACTTACTCATGGCTTAACACTGTCGAGCTCTACGGCTGGTACGTCTAAATTTACCCTTGGCTTGACGCAGGCGAGCCCTACAGCTGGTACGTCTGAACTTACCCTTGGCTTTGCGCAGGCGAGCCATCAGCTGGTACGTCTAAACTTACCCATGACTTTACGCAGGCGAGCCCTGCAGTTGTTACGTCTAAACTTACCCTTGGCTTGACACAGGCGAGCCATCAGCTGGTACGTCTATGGCTAAACGAAGGCGAGCCCTACGGCTGGTACGTCTAAATTTACCCTTGGCTTGACACAGGCGAGCCCTACAGCTGGTACGTCTAAACTTACCCTTGGCTTTGCGCAGGCGAGCCATCAGCTGGTACGTCTAAACTTACCCATGACTTTACGCAGGCGAGCCCTACAGCTGGTACGTCTAAACTTATAGTCACATTTATAGATTATTATTCACGTTAAACTGGACAAGAATAAGTCCGAATACACGTGCTGTGCTGGTACCCTAAATGCAACTACCCCTAATTGACAATGAAAAAGCTTGGACTACAATATCAAGCATTTTTTGGGCATATTCTTCATTTTTCAATAAATTTTACTTCATTTGGCCCCCCCTGAACAATTAAAATATCCAAAATACGCCATCTTTAAAGACCTATATGCTATATCCTCGAATGATTTTCAAGCTAAAGCATTGAGAGATATACCATTCAATTCGTATAATCAAGATCTAGTGAAATGCCAATTAATTTTTTTTTCGCTATAGTTAGATTATATTTAAAAAAAAGGGAGGGGGAGGCGAAAATCGAGCAAAACCCGAACCCCCCTACCCCAACCGATAAAATATGAATTAAGAAAAATCAATTGGTATATCGCTAGATACGATTGTTACGAATCGAATGATAGGCATCTCGCTGTTGCAGCACGTTAATTGAATGAGGATTTTCTTTGTTTTTTTTTTTTAATATGAACGAACAAATAGGTCTTAGATTTCTGTTTTACATATGTGTACCAAGTTTCAAAATGATCCGCCCGTTAATAAATTTTTTTTAGGGAGGTGCTCCCCTTAACAGGTGTAAAAACAAGCTGTAATTACACGAATGAATATACTTGTGCAATTTAATCAGAACTTCTATGGAAACTGCATTATATCAGTTTCATGGACGCTTTATTTTTCCTTTCGTCATTCGGCATTATCATCAGGGTGTTGATTCGTACAAAATTATAACGTAGTTTTCTATTTTTAACTTTACTTCCAGGTTTTTGAATAGATTTTTCAGATTTTCCTTAAAAAAACGACAATGTTTGAAGAGAACATTCTTTCTTGCAGAGACTACAGTGCAGCCCTTGAACCTCTAGAATTTTTTTTGAATTTCGGAAAGGATCTTGGCCTGAAATATGGACAAGTGGTGCTGCCGCGAGCATCGAACAACTTTGGCCCCACTTACTGCGCGAAACTGAGGAGGAAGAAGTGAACACGTACTGAGATGATCATCGAAACTAAATTGTACAGCTTCTATGATGAAGGGAAAAATATACAAACTGACAGATCTCTGATTTCTATTGATAACGTTGAAGATACAGACCAGCGTGCGACAGGTTACAGAGCGGAAATGAAGTGCTAAAATATTAATGGTGAGAAAGATCACTCGTTCACTTACGTGATGTGAGTAATCAAACATCTGCTATGGACGGCTCTGCCACTGACACATGCTAATTATTTGATAGTCCACTTCCTATTCCAGGATTCATCTTGATAAGTATTGCGTATTTCGTTTTTTTTTTTACTCTAATGGTGACATATCTGCCATCAAAATCAAGCCATTGTTTATAAAATGAATACTTCATGCCACATCAAGGCATGTTCGCCTTCATGCCACATCAAGGCATGTTCGCCTTCATGCCACATCAAGGCATGTTCGCGCTGCTTTCTATATTTATCTACAAAACATAAGTGTTACTACATGTTTAACTCCTCCGCTCACACAGGAAATAAAATATACAATATTTGCTCCCATTGATTTCACAAAACAATTGTACTTTGATTGCTTATCGCACAGTAGAAGCAGTACAATTCATCCTGAATAAGAAATCTGCCAAGCACGTTTATAACAATATCTGACATGTTTACCAACATGCATTACATTTTACGCGATTCGTCCACGTCACACAAAATGTAGAACGTTATCACGATCCTGACTGCAACGTAGGGGCCCGAAGCAGGTCTCTGCGCAACAACGTCATGCATAAATGAATAAAACAAATATATGTGTATCTGTCATTACATCATAATTGCCATTACTTCATTCATTGCCCGAGAGGAAATTTTTCTGATGAATCTCTCATATAAGTAAAATAATGCCAAACTCTGTTCATTCATGCTGCATTGCATAAACAATCTACAGTTGAAGCAAACCTATAGTTCAATTATAGACTATATGAGAATATTTTTATACTTGACATCTGAACACCTAGCAGAAATATTTTTTGTAACTGTCTTCCATGTAAAACACTGCGTATTGCTTCCAATTCACTATAACTTACTTGTGTACGTAGAAAAATATATAGCCATTGCGCTGACGGGAAGGACCAAGAACTGAACTGAGGGGCAACTCTGTGACGGTCTCGTCGTCATAGTGCAGCCAGGTGTTGCTCTCCTCATTGAGTACGTCGCTCACGTAATGACCTGATGAAGCATTTAGAGCTACAAACTCGACTACAAATCTTTCATCTTATTCGCTGTAAGTTCTGGCTACGTGTGTTTGGTAGCATATTTGATCACAAGTATCACAGTAGCCTAATGTTTCACAAATATGTCGTGGCACCTGCAGTTGTGTTCCTGCCGTAGTGGCTGACGATGCTAGCGAGGCAGTAGCTGTGGGGGCCCTCGCATTCATCAGCTTCGTCAGGCACTTCGCGCCCAAGTTCTTGTTCTGTCGCCGCCGCAACTGCAGCCAGTGCAGCTGCCTCTGCCTCGGCTGTGATTCTCTCCCGCTCCTATAATTAGGGCATTCATTCAATTTGGGGAACCTTCATGAACACCCAAATTGGATTAAAAAACTACTTTCCTTAATACTCAATTGTTTATTCATGAACAAATTAAAAGAAGCACAGAATAGTTTAGGTGGCGCTAAAAAATTATGATAAATTTTAATGAATAAATCATAGTTAAAATATTTATAATACATACCTGCGCTTCTTGCAGCGAAAGACGTATGGCTTTCTGCAAGTCGTCTTCTTCATCTTCCACATTATCGACAGAAGCTGTAATGCTTCCACCAGGCTCTGCCTCAGCCTCTTCCAAACTTCGTCTCAGCGCCTCCTGCATAATGACACTTTTAAAAGTGATGACATTCATTCCGAAATTATATTACAGTGGGGGGAAATAAATATTCGTACACTTGAAAAATCGTATTTTAATGTATGTAAGTTCACAAACTTAACAGGAAAAGTGATTTAAATTATGTTCAGCATCTGCAAATCATTGGTCGAGACGTATAGGAATAGACTGGTATCTGTTGAGCTGAATAAAGGGTATTCAACCAAGTATTAAATTAAAATAATGCGGATTTATTGTTTTGTACGAATACTTTTTTCACCCGAAAAGTGAACATGGTGCATTGTTTTTTGTTGCATTGAGATTTAATTTCTTTTGATAGTATTTATGAATACTATGCGTCTCTATACATAATATAAATCACTTCTCCTGTTCAGTTTGTGTACTTACATACATTAAAATACGATTTTTCAAGTGTACGAATATTTATTTCCCCCCACTGTATGTTAATGCATAGAAGCTTCTGATCATTTTTTTATGCGCTTGTATTTGAAAATATTAATATTATCCAGCAAATGATTTATTACACGTTGCTCGATATAAATGTATACAAGTGATTTTCACAGGGGAAACAAATATTACACTGAAAAAATTTAATATTAGTAGACAAAAAATACAAAACCAGAATTACTCACAAAAAATAGAACATTAATTCCAAGAAAAAATTTTCATTTTCGTAAAATTCAATTATATTCTTTACCCAGCTACCTGAATTTGCTCATCCTCCGTAAGAGGTGTTGTCTCAGTTGCATCCTGGTTGACTTCATCTGAAGACGAAACCGTAGCGCATTCCGCCGCATCTGAAGTGCCGCAGCCGAACACTTCAGCGGTGCTCGGCTCGCCGCTGCTCAACAGAACTTCAGCGCGAGCGCCGCCAAACACGCGGCTGAATAATGAAGCAAATCGTCAATGAATAATGTAAACACGCAATGTATAAGGCTATTTAAAAAATTAATACTAAACCTATGAGTGATTGCTAAAAAATTCAAATACATTACATTTCTGCTATCAAACAACTTGGCCGAGTGATTAAGTGAAATTTCACGTCAATACCATGAATTTTGAGAAGTACATCGACCAACCCATAATAAATTAAAACTCAACTTCTCAATCATAAAAGTTTTTATTTAATTAAACATAGCTGTGAAATGTAAATCGCAAATTTTCTCGGCCTTTCGAGATTAAATATATCATAAACTTTTGTTATACTTCATAGCAGGAAATAAACCTGAAGTTTACCTGTGCGCAGTGGTCAGGGGAGCTTTGACAGGCGTGGGAGGAGCCGAAGACAAGTGAACTGAGATTTCGGGGTAACGGCTCACGCCGCTGCCTGTGTAAGCAGACAGGTCCAGCCTCTTGTTAACCTCAATGCTCGTACACACCTTCAAACTTGAGAACTCGGCTGCGTCATACGTGTACCGCTTCATTTGAATTATCAAAATTCTGTCGGAATCAACTTAATTTTAGAAATTTATTAGCTTCATAATTTGTATAATAAAAGCTGACTTATAACGGGTAAATACTTTCTGTAATATCTAACATTACTGGGGTCATGCTGTTTGAATTGTTCAGTGTGGTCGGCTTTGCAGATACCTCTAAAAAATCCAGCAAGTTTTATAGTCAATCGTACAAATAAACCTGAAACAAAAAAAAAATAATAGGAGTAGAAGACAACATGGCTTTTGAGGGACAGGAAATGAATATCATGAAGAAAAAAGCGATACTGACCGAGGCATCTTAGTGAAGGAGGTGGTGACGAGGGCAGTGGGGTGGGCGCAGTGCTCACATTTGAGCTCACGCTGCTCCTGCTGCATGTACGCAGCCACCGCAGCTCTGATGCTGCTTGGCTGACTGTCATCTTCCTCACAGCCACTCGAGGACAGGTGCACATAAAGGCTGAAGTACTCTTGTGAACGCTGCACATTAGCACTGCATCTGCAGCACAGACCATCACATCATTAATGTCATAATAAGTTCAATGCTCAGAAAACAGTCAACTAATTTTAAGCAAACTAGAAGTGTGAACACAACACTAGGTGAAGTCACATGAACAATAAAACATTTGGCAGACTCCTAGCTGCCAAACTTGACAAGGCAAGGAAATCAGGAATAGCATGAAAGGAGATAAAATAAACTAATTGGGACTTTTGTAGGCAAATTTATAAGTAGTAGAAGGTATAGAATTAATAGAAAGTTATTTCAGTAACTGTAAACTACGAACCCAAGGCATTTGTAGACTTCTTGAAGATGAAAGCCAAAATTTGCCGTAATAGGGTTTGATGACTTATTTTCTTCTTTTGATTTCTCCTCAGTAGTGATGACTCCATTGGATTTTTTGAGGCCCACAGGCTTCGATATGAAGTTTGTGTGAGAGTTGCGTTCATAACTTGGAGTCTTCTCTTTATTGGACTTTAAAACTCTATCATATTTGACCTTCTTATTTGCTAACATCGGAAATTTTTGATCATCAATGCATTCAATATCATCAGATGATACATTCTGGTCAGAAATATTTTTAGGGTTTTTCAGGCGAGGGGGAGTACCATCCAGATCCGACGACTCTTCACTATCACTGACTACCAATCTTAAATTATCATTCGACACGCATTTGGCGTTATTTACGAGAGTGAGATTTTCTGAGGAAAGTGATCGCTTAAGTCCTCGTTTTGAGACGTTGGTCTTGTAAGCAGCAGCAGCCTCTCCTGGAGACAAGCTGCGAATGACCACCGAATTGTTCAGAAGAAGAGGTGCATTTGACTTGATGGGACTGAAGGGCAGGGAGTGCTTCGTTAACGGTGTTTGTGGCTGTGCTTTTTCTATCTCTTCAGTCAGTAACTTGTCAACCTCATCTTTAATGGTGTCCAAAACTTTGGTGAGGAACTCATTGGCGTCTTGCATTTTCCAACCGATGAATGAACTGTCACATTTTTCGAAATTTTCTTTGATCAATCTGTAAAATTAAAGAATGTAATGAAAACATCCATGAAGATTCAAATGCATCATGCCCTATATGGAGGCTAAGTCTGCTCACCTCGAGTTCAGCCAAATGAAAGGCAGAAAATTAAATATCAAGTGAACCTCGTCTAAAGGAGACCTCATAGACATTTATCTATATGTCTTTCATCACAGTCGATAGTTTAAAATTATTTGATTGTATACAAATATTATAAATGAGCAAGCAAACAAAAAAATTCAATCTGAGCAAATCTTCAATTTCATCATTTCAGTTTAAACTATACAAAATTTGAGTTTTTAAACATGTGTGAAAATAAGTACAATCAACTATCATAACAATACTTCCATTTTAACAATACCTGCCAACATGCTTGAGGAATGTAAGTTTAGCAAGGAAAGCATTGGTGAAAATAGTTGCTGAAATCACCTATTTAAAATTTACCTGAGAGGTCGTCTTAGACTACTAGGCTGGCCAGTTCTCCTTGAGTCAAGAAGGCAAGCAAGGCCATGCAGAAGTGAGTCAGCAGGTGGAGGCAAACGCTGAACAAAACTGCTCACGTCCAAGCGAAATACACGCATCGAGACTAAACTTTGGAGCACTGCATTCAGATAGCATGTGTTGCCCAGGTTTGGAAATCTAGAAGAGAAGAAATTTATTAGAAAACACACCATATAATGAAGAAATGCCTAATGATTTATTAAATTAAAAATCCATGTAGTAAGATGTGTACGAGAAGAAAATATCACTTTCAGGGTTTCCAAAATGTGTTTTTAGTTATAAATGTGCTGTGCTTAAACAATCCATTCAACAAATCTAAAGCAATCAATTCATCTGATAATCTCACCCTAGTAAATGCGCTGGCATAATAGTTTCTTCTGTCTTTACATAAGGAACATTCTCCTTTTCAGGATTGACAGAAGCAATCGATCCATAGGCTTTCTCAATCTTGTTTGGAGAAATACCATTCAGTAATGACGATTTTTGCATGGGCTTGAGAGGAGTACGGTTAAGTTTCCTTATTTTCACTGGGGCAACGGTGAATATGTCTGAATCAGAATCCTCATTATTTTCATCAGTCACTTTTCCACCATCATTGCAGTTTTCAAATCTAAGCTTGCGACTTGAACCGGCTGCACTCAGCTTACGAGAAGACTGTCCTGAATGTGGTGTTGACGTTAAAGATTTTCGTGAGGTGTAACTTCCACTGGCAACAGGACTATTTCTTGGTGAGGAGGCGCTAGAGGTTCTTGGTTTATTGGGAAGCTTTGGCAATGAATAAGAAGCATTATTCAAGGGTGCAGGTATAGTGGTAACTGTCACACTTGAATTCATAGCCAACTGAGCTATTGGATTATTTAAAGAGTCGGAATTTTTGACAGCATTGAGAGCTGCTCTATCAAAACTTGACATGCTCTTTTGAGGAGAAAGTTTATGGCTTGCTTTGCTATACGTTTTGATAGGTTTTGAATTAGTAAATAGAGAAGTGTCTTCTAATTCATATTTATTATGTGATGTTGATGGGGACTGTGATGACTTGCTCATTGATGACTGAACCCAAAAGCCATCATTAGAACCAATAGAAGGAGATGAGCTCTTTGATTTGGATGCAGAGACCAGCACAGCTCCACGAGTCTGAGTTGAGTTGTGAGGGCTTACATTGCTATCATTTCTAGCAGTGAAGACATGGTGCTGGGAAGGGCTGGAAGCATCCAAAGTTACCCTACTAGACTGTAGAGTATATACGCGAGCAAGTGAGCGATCCAAGTAATTTTTTGGTTTCCAGCTGCTGAGGTTGGAAGGAGATGAAACCATTGAATCCTCTGAAAATGATGTACATTTTTAAAAATATTGTCACAATGATAGTTTGTTTGATCAAGAATATTTTTTTGACATATTGATTATTCTGCATAATTTCATAATAGAAATTATACAAACATTTGAACATAAGAGAAATGTAAATCTCACAGGTCCCTCCTTTATGTATAATTTCATGGTCATATAATTCTCCATAATCAAATATATATAAAGATCACTGACTAGTGCAGGTGGTTTGCACTACCCATACAAGTTATCTTCTACCTGCAAGTTACCCAACTTTAGAAGCAATATTTCAAAACTGTGTCAATTAATTGCTACTTAAACTGTACAAAAATAAATACTTACTGGACACATTTTGGTCATCTCTTTTGACCAGTGGCAGGGACTGGGAATTGGAAGGCATACCTGCTCGAACAATGTACAAATAAGTCAGCCAGTTTACTGACAAATATCAAACATGACAAAGCAATTATATAGATTGATATTGTGTGCATATATACATAAATATTTCCAACTCAAACTTACTGAAATATAGGATGATGTTAGTGACACACTTTCTCCTGTGGTGAGCTAGGAAAGATGAGATCTCTTCCACAACTTTGATGAAATAAAGATATAATTGATTGGGGTGCCAAACTTATATGCAAAAGTATAAGTTCTTAAAGAGCACCTCTCAGCTCCTAACTCTGTTGAGAATATGAAAAATTGTCATTGTTCCGAATTAGATTCAATTCAACAATTTCAACACCACATAAATTCCAACAATAATTCAAACCTTGCTATCCAAGCCTTGACCTATGGGTGAAGGCTTTCTCAGTTCAGTCTTGAAAAGACCAGAGCAAGTATATATGCAACTAACTTCAATTCATCAATTATTTTTTTTACACATAGTTTAGTCAGATATATTTGATGCACGACTTGAACACAATTTTCCCAATCAATCAAAACTGTGCAACACAGTTTGAGGAAAATAAAGACAAAAGATACTTGGAAGAAAACTCCTTGATTCAATTCTGCAACAAATTACTTAGTTTTGGTAGAATGGAGCACAAGTTTGTAAGCAATAAATAGAAGTTTAAATAATTTGTGATCATTTGGAATCAACACATTATTAGGGATAATACAATAAGCATTTTTAAATTCTCCATTTAATGCCAATAATGTTGTCTTTTTATTCTAATCAAATAGCCATTTAAAGACAAAAATGATCCTGTTTGCCAATCATAGCTTGTCAGATGGCCTTCAAGACTTGACATCAGAGTTTTTCAGATTGTTTACCACCATTAAATACACAAGTATGTACAGAATTATCGCTAACTTTGATGTTTTTTGATTTATATTTGAGAAGAGAGATGGTTTAAATTAGAATGACAGTAATAGTAGATAGCATAATAGGCCTACCGTCACACTTTCCATAAACAGCTTAAATCATAGACCACCACAACCATTTACCCCGAATCTTGTCCAACAAAATTAACCAATTGCTCCTGAATAAAACCTATTCATTTACTCACAATCTTATTTCGAATATTACCCATCGTAACACTTTCCATAAACAGCTTAAATTATAGTTTACCAAACGTTTACCCCAAATCTTACCCAACAAAATTAATGGAGTGGTCTATCCCGAAAGCAGGTGACAAATTGGTTGGAGTCGCAGGAAACCTACACTCTACATAAACCAATAAAATATAATTTCACCACAAGAAGAGTTAAAGTGACAAAGTTTTGATGATCAATGGCAGGCAGATTTAGTTGACATGCAGAAGTATACAGATAAAGGTAAAAAATACACTCTAACTGTGATTGACATCTTTAGCAAACATGCATGGGCAGTTCCTATACGTAGAAAAACTGGTGAAGAGATTTAAACCTCTTTCCAAAAGCTTTTCACTGACCGAACTCCCTCAAAATTTGAAAAACAGACGAGGGTCTATAGTTTATTAACCAACCAATACAAGAGTTTTTCATAAAGTTTGAAATTCAATGGCTTGCAACTGAAAATGAAACTAAAGCTCAAGTTGTTGAGAGATTTAACCGAACTCTCAAGACAAAAATGTGGAAATGTTTCACATACGCCAAGACAAAAAAGTGGGTAGATATTTCACCAGATTTAGTTGATAATTATAACAATAGTTATCATCGATCAATAAAAATGACTCCTCGTGAAGCTTCAATGGATCAGAACAGTAAAAAAGTTTATGCAAATTTATTCCCCGAGATGAAGACTGCATGTAGTAAGAAAGCCTAAATTCAAGATTGGAGATCGTGTTAGAATTAGTTGAAAATTACCTAAACATTTTGAGACAGACTAAGGTTCATCTCAAGCCGGATGGAACAATTAAAGCAAACAAAGGAGAGAAGTATAAAGCATTCATCAGACCACTCAATAAAGCGATGCAAAAATAAAAGGTGCGTTATGAAGTAGCTAGAATTAAAGCTGCAAGCCCGGCATCGTCTAGGGATCAAACTCCGGAATCAAGATCGGATACTGATCCAGATGTTTCAGGATCAGGAATAATAGTTATACCTTCTAACGTTAATGATATTGTTGCAAGACATCACTTATTATTTGGCTCTCTGAATGCTGGAAACACAGGAGTCTTTAATGAATGGCAGGCACTCACTCATGAAATTTTTAAACGAAATTTATTAAATGAACATGATGTTAAACTATTGAATGATTTTTGTTGAAGAAAATGTTATCTCAAAGCATAGTTATTACCGGTAGAAAAAGTGATATTTACACGAAATTCACACCAGCAATAAAATTGGATAAAAACAAATTTCATGAACTGGCATTGGTGGGACTGGATATGTATCACTGTATCCCGAATATCGGTGAGACAAATAACAACTTTTATGTTGGGAAATATGGTATAGTAATCCCTACAACTTTTCCGACCGGAAGCTATGAGATAGTGAGAATCAATAAGTTTATAAAAAATGCCTATGGAAACGAGATCTCCATTGATATAAAAGTGATTACCAATATTCTGAAATGCGTTATAACTATTCGTGATCCTGACTTGAAAATTTATTTCAACAAACCCAACAGTTTACATACTCTGTTAGGTTTTGATAATGGAGTATTGGAAGGTGTTGGAGAACATGTACAAATATAGTAAATATAATGTCTGTTAATGCAATACTTGTTCACTGCAGTATAATTAATGGATCATATCTCAATGGTTATTTACACAATATCTTGTAGGGTAACATGGGGCAGCGAGCCCACTGCGGGTCATGGGCCCATAGCGGGCTTCTCGCTAAGTATAGCAAATATTGGTCCGTGTTCTCTACCGCCGGTCGACAGTTTCACTGGGGTGAAGTGTACGGATTTACGTTTTGTTAAGTGTTTGCGTTATTAAGATATTTGTGGATAACTGTTTCAGCCCAGATCAAGTTTTTTTGCTGCTAAATAAAACTGTTATCGATTACTGTAGATGAAGCTTTTGAAATTACTGTGAATTATATTTTGAAAGTAATATCTATAGGGATAATTTTGAGATCAAGTTTAGAATATTCGCTTTTAAAATAAAATGCTGACACGATATAAATCGAAATGATACCTAGTTGGGGCAACGGGCCCACGAGTGTCACGGGGCAAAGCGCCCATGGGGAAGTCTTGTGTTATACATCATTAGATTTGTCTCAATGACCTTTTCAAAACTATGACTAGCTTTTGAACTATAAATCACATTTCATATTGCATGATTTTTGATTTGCCGCCTCAAGGCAGCAGGTTTAGTTTCTAGTTATGCGTACATATTTATGTTCCCTTATCGAGTTATTGACTCTTGCCTTGCCAAAAGTTGATTTCAGTCAACATTAATGAGCCAAAAGTTGATGAGTTTTTATGGTGTTTGCTGAAATCACGATTAGGTACGAATTCTCTGCACATAATATCTGGATTATGGGCAAAACAGGAACGAAGTTTTTTTCTGATCAACTAAATATATTTTTTCTAGTCAAGAATACATTTTTTCATGTCAGGACGAATTTTTTACCTCAAGGATATATTTTTCAAATTTACTCGAATTTGGAATAATATTCGGATATAAATTGTATTCGAATTCAATTTATAATATTCGAACAGATCAAAATAGAAGTCGTTTGAATACCAGAGGTGAAGAAATAACAGTACGATTGCGTTTAAGGATACAAAATATTAAATAATCCTTAAAAATATTACTTATGAAATGGAGAACTTACAATGGAACGAAACTATTCAAATTTATGAATCAATTCATAAAGTTGAAACGCATGATTATGAGCCTAAAATTGGAACTGATTTAAATCGTGAACACAATGATATCAAGATCATTATTCAAACAGTTGTCTTTACATCGAAAGTGCTTTAGCGAAAGAGGATGGTAGCAATTATAACTTCAAAGGTGATAAAATATCAATTATCAATGATGGTCTGATGTATTTATTCGATCGAGTATCTTATAGAATCGTAAGTGAGGAAATTGAGGGCTATAGCTATCATGGACTTGCTACAACTCTAAAGGGATTGACAACTTATCAACGAAACTCCAAAGAGAAAATGATGTTCTTCTGGCGTATTGACACTATTCCTTAGTTCCTTAGTAGTCCTTTGTATTTGTTTGGTACGTAGCAGTCCCAGGCCACGATGGATCGCCACCTCTGATTATCTTTCATCCGCCCTCATTTGGACCTCCTGATACACGATGCTGTTGCATGCTTCTCGCCGCTGGTAGTGTTGCAGGGGAGGTCGATCTGGGATTGTGCCCAGGAACATGTCCAGTTGTCTCTTGAAGGCCTCCAGTGTGAACTCCCCCTCTCTTAGATCCCTTGGTAGGGCGTTGAACAGCCTTGGCCCTGCCACGGAAAGTGATCCTTCCCGCAGGGATTGAAGTCTGACTGCGGATCTGTTACGTAAAGGGGGGATCTTGCACAGTCTCTCCCTTCTCTCGTTGTGACATGTCTTAATCCTGAAGGTCTCGCTCTCGAAATTTGGCACCATTCCGGTTATCATTTTCCATGTGTACAGAATGATATACCTCTCCCGTCTCTGCAGTGAGTACAGACCCAGTAGCTATAACCTCTCCCAGTAGTTAAACTTCTCCATCCCTCTGATCCTGGAAGTGAAGGTTCTTTGGACTCCTTCCAGTTGCCGTATTGCGCCTAGTATGAACGGAGTCCAGAGCTGGCAGCAGTATTCAAGGATAGGTATTACAAGGGCTCTGAAGGCATTACAAGGACGTCGATAGGTATTACAAGGACGTCCGCCAGATCCACCCCATCTGTTGTCTACCTCTTGCGGCTATTGCCGGTATGTGATCACCAAAATTGACATGGTTGTTCATCAACACTCCTAGATCGCGAACGAGTCGCTTCTCTTCGATTTCCGAGTTGTCAGGTGCCAGGTAGCGGTGATCCATTCCGGCTCTTCCGGTTCCTCTGTACCTCAGGACCTCAAACTTGGTCCCGTTGAACTGCATGTTGTTCAAGAGGGCCCAGTCATATATTGCAGAGAGGTCTTCTTGCAACCTCTCACTGTCCGTCCTGTCCGTCATTAACGCTGGCACAAACTTTATTTGGCTTAGGCAGCGGAGGGATTAAGACGCATTTGCATTTTATGCTTTAATCGCACCTCAAAACGCAGTGGATATGAAAATAATGACCATACAAAAGAATAAAAAAACTAGCTAAATATGATAGGAAATTAAATAATATACCATGTATGATCACAAT